CTGGCATGTTTTACCTTCAGCTATTATTCAAACTGAATAGAATTATCTTCCAATGAAATTGTTAGGATGAATTGCCAATTTCTACTTTTCTAGAAACCCACTTTTACTGAATAACCTTGATCCCAACCTATCATAAAAAATGGGATTTTACTCAACAAATTACTGCTAACATCACATTTTGTACATAATAGCTGCAAATGTCTAAAATTTTAAGGAACCATAATTTAGAACAATTCTAGGCTAAACGTGGTATTTGTAGACGATCCAGATGCAAGAAAATAAACCAAATGAGCCATTTAATTTGTGGTTTGAATGTCATTTTTCTGACAGTTATCAATGAAACTGTCATGTAGCCCTGGAATTTGGGGCTGTTAGAATTATTTATTTTGGATGTCACTCTTTCACATCTGATATTTTAACAAAGAGTTATGTTCACGTGCATGTGGGTATTGATTATCAATACCTTCACATGACATTATTACTTGCACATGCGTTAGTTCTGATTCTCTCTACAACCTGATTTGCATACCCATATCATCATATAGATATTTACAAATACTTCTGTACAGATTTTTTAAAATTTTATTTTATTATGTTAATCCCCATACATTACATCATTAGTTTTTGATGTAGTGTTCCATGATTCATTGTTTGTGCATAACACCCAGTGCACCATTCAGTACGTGCCCTCTTTAATACCCATCACCAGGCTAACCCAGTCCCCCACCCCCCTCCCCTTTAGAACCCTCAGTTTGTTTCTCAGAGTCCATAGTCTCTCATGGTTTGTCTCTGCCTCCGATTTCCCCCCCTTCATTTTTCCCTTCCTACTATTTTCTTTTTTTTAAACATATAATGTATTATTTGTTTCAGAGGTACAGGTCTGTGATTGCGTACAGATTTTTTTCTTGATCTCTTTCTTACTTGACTAAGAATATTCAGGATGTCCCCAGATGCTCATCTGAAGGTTGACTTAGTCACAGTGGCAGAACCCCAGGCTCAAATGTCAAATGGGATCAGTTCTATACAGTGCACTAATCGGGCTGCAATCTTTTTGCTCCAGAAGTTACAGTTGCATGTTACTCATCAAGGCAAAATGTAAATGTTTAGTGATTATACGATATGTTTTTGTTAACTCCCCAGATGGGATTTTTTTTTTTTTACCTTTGTTTATCTGAGAACAACAACAGAATGCTGATGAAATGCTGTGGCTGATGCCAGCAATCTAAGGCTTCATTAGTACAGATGAAGCAATGCTCACTTTGTTAGACAAATAATTAGAGAGATTAAATGAAAATAAACACTGAGAGGATGTACAGAAGCTCTGAAGTTAGGTAATTATTTTAATTACTCTAGTGACTTCCATCAACCTTCACTATCAGCCACAGATCAAGTTTAAATTGTTTTATGTAAAAATATCATAGACTATATGGAAAAGTACTATAGTTACTCAGTGATTATGCTTCATAAAAATGGCATTTTCTTTAAGCTTCCACTAAAAGGAGTTTTTTCCATTCTGGTGCCTGATAAACTCTCTAAAAGCATGATACATTTTTGCACTTTAAAGTGTTTTACCCTGGTTTTTGCTTCAAATGGACATTCTTAATAATTTTGTATCTTTATCTTGACTCGGATTTGATCATGAAAGATGTGGGTTCACATTTTTGAGTCACTGAATGTAAAACAATATGGCATATTCAGTCATTTGAAATAAATGTCACTTGGAATCATGTCATCCTTACTGCATGACAAGCTGCACCTTGTATTTGGGGTAAATATTTCTTTATTCCCCTTCCTACCTCAGATGGGGGAAGACTACCACACACACTGACTGACACCTTCCTGACAGGCGGAGGCCATTTTTAGAGGCATGGTCAGTCCTGTTTAGAATGGATCTCATTTTTATTCCTGTGCGACGATGATTCTGCAAATCTCCCGGGTTAAGATCTTCTTTTGAACAAGTGTTACCTGCATTTAAATACCATTCATTGCTTGCATAATGCCAGCTCCTCTGCAAAATACTTTACCTAATTTATGCTATTTAATCCTTATAAGATTTCCATGGGGTATGTATTATTAACTCCATTTTCCAGGTGAGGAAACTGAGAAGCTCACCGACTTTCTAAAGTTGCTCAAGTGGCCCAGCTGGGAATCAAACCAAGGTCGGCCTGACTTCAAGAACCACGATGCCCCCAACAGATGATTGAATGAGGTAAACCTGGATGCAAATGCTGACGAAAGATAATAGAAACGATGAGGTGACCTCCTTAAGGTGAATGTGCTAGTTAAGCGTTGTGTTGTAGGACACCTGTCAATTCTGAACACCAGTTAAAATCTCCAATTCCAAAATTTGATTGATTTTGAAAGTGTCTCATCTGTGAATGGCCCTGGTTGCTGGAGAAGAAGCAATTAGGAATGGATTTTTATGGAATAGTAAGTATAACCAAGAATTCCCGACTAACAAAGATTAGTGAAGTTTCTTCCAGTAACCACTTTGCACTCCAGCTAACACACTCCGCATTTCTCTTCAACTACATTAAAGATTTCAGCAGGATGAATGAGGCTTCAGTAATCTGCAAAGGTCGCCAGGTGTGCGTGCTGTTTTCTAGTATTTAAGAAAAGCCTTTACTGGGTTCCCTCCCCCACCTAACTGCCTCAAGATAACTGACATTGGTTTCAGGCGGTGCACCCCCAGGCCTGATCACGACACATTTTCAGGAGGTTGTGTTATATTCAGAGGACCATTAGGGTAGCTGAGAGTCAGGGAAGGGTCTAACGGATTCACTGTTTCCTATGTTAGGATGCACTAATCTGCCGAGTTTATAGTATGAGTCGTGGCTGATACATACAGGGAGCTGGGACAGAACGTTAGTTCTTGCTTGCGGTGGGAGGGTGGGGAGGGAGTGCATGTTAACTTTATAAATCTCACCCTCAGGTTTCAGACTCCGAGCAGGAAGTTAGGGAAATTCACAAACGCTCCAACTCCCGGTGATAGAGCAGCAAGGGTAGGGCTTAAGAAATCGAGGACTCTCAAAAAAGGCTGGAAGGGTGGGGTGGGCTATCAGCTCCAGAGCTCTCCAGCGCGCCCTCACGCAGAATGCGCAATCGGAGGGATTTATTTGTGAGCGAGACCGAGGAAGACAAACAACCGAGAGAAGATGGGCTCAGAAATTATTTATCGTGGGCTGGCGGGGGGAAAGGCTTTCCTGCTGCTTTTGCAAGCACCTCCCTGGGACGTGACTATGAAGCCTGGCCCCTCTTCTTTCCTCCCGGTACATTATAGACAGCCAGGGACTCAGCTAGAAGGTCCGCTCGATATAAAAAGTCCTAAGCACCAGTTGTTTACTCGTTGTCTTCCAGGCACTGTCATGGTTCTATTATGTCTTCGTACTCTGTTTGATTTTGACTGCACCACGTTTATACATCTAGGAGGGCCAACCCCTCCCGGTCGGGCTGTGTGGAAAGTGATTTCTTCGGGCCGCGCAGCGAGGAAGCCACGGGCTAGACTCCGGGGACCACCTTCTGTTTCCACTTGGCCACTTGCTACTGACCTCGGAGAAATCACTTTAAACGCTGAGCCTCAGCTTCCTCAGCCATAAAATGAAGGTGATTCTACTTTCCAGGCCTCTTTAAAAGGATCGTCGGGAGGGTCAAACGGAGTAATTCTGATGGCAGCGAACTGTGAGGAAATGTGACTCCAAATTACTGAAGGAAAAATAAGTTAAACATCCTCAGCTGGAGTTTTAGGAATTTCCCCCCAATGAGCTCACTGCAGGCAGGCAGCAACCGTTTGGATGGATTCTTTCTTACGGACCATCTTACATGCCGAACACCTACGTGTGGCACCCCTCCGTCTCCCAGGGCTCCTATTGATTTCCGCCTTTCAGTGAAAGCGCTTTTTGCTGCCGCTGTTGGGTACACACCCCAGCACACCAACCCTGCAGCTGGGGGCCAGAGAAAGGATCTTTTACCCTCTCCGCCTTTGTCCCCTCACTCCCCACCCTAGGTCTCCCGAGTTTTCCGCACGCGAATGGGGTTTCCTGGCTGATCTCTAAAGACCTTGCAGTATTTCAGAAAGCTACGAGCGCGCAGAGATGAGCGAACGAGCATCCAGCCCTTCCCGCAGGTCGTGCAGCCCCGCGGGGACCCTCCTCCCGCTCCTCCGGCGGTGCAGCAGCCGCCTCCAGAGCTAGCTCTCGGGGCCGTCAGCGGCAGACCCCGCGGAGAGCCGGGGCCCCCCTCGCAGCCCCTCTCGGCCAGTAGCAGCGCTGCTGGCTTCCCACAGGAGGGAGGACTGGGAGGACGCTGGAGTCTGCAGCGCCCCCGCCCCCTCGCTTTTTCTTTCTTTCCTTGCTTTGGGATCTTGCTGCCGGAGCCGGGAGAGGGTCTGAGAAGACAAGCGAGAAGGACCGGAGTGCAGGCTTCCGCTGCGGCGCGCGAGCAGAGCTGGGGGCGCAACATCTGCGGCGTCCCCTCCCGGTCCTCGCCCACCCGGCTGGGATGTGATCCAGGAAAGCCCTCAGCGCCTGCCTCCCGCCCTCGAAGGTGCCCCCCCAGAGAGCTCATTGGGAGCACACCGCTGGAGTCCCTTTGGCCGCAGCGCCACGGGACGGGAGTGGCAAGGAGTCCCGGGGCCGGTTCCCAGCTCCCACTCTTCAGAAAGAGCGGCGGGGGATCACCGCTTTCCTGGCGCTCCGCGCAACTCCGGCGCGAGCAGCGCGCGGCTGGACAGAGTCCCGCTTCCCGCCGACTCACCGGGATTGGGGGACGGCGTCTGCCCGCCTGCGCTCCCTGTAGCCCTAGCTTCTCGGCACCTGCGCCGATCTCCCACGCCAGGGGCCTGAGCCCCGCGGCTCTCGGCCCCCGCAGCATCCTCAGACCCCATGGAGAACGCGCCCGCCGCGGCTTCCTGAGTGCGGGCGCCGCCGCCGTCCAAACTGCGCGCTGGGGTCCTCCATCTCGCCCCTCTTAGGGGCGTCCGAGAGGCCAGCGAAGAGCGCACCATGAAGTCCGTGCTGTTCAGCCGCTTCTTCATCCTCCTGCCCTGGATCCTAATCGTCATCATCATGCTCGACGTGGACACGCGCAGGCCCGCGCCCCCGCTCACCCCGCGCCCCTACTTTTCTCCCTACGCGGTGGGCCGCGGGGGTGCCCGACTGCCGCTCCGCAGGGGCGGCCCCGACAGCAGCCCCGGGCGCGGCTGGCAGAAGCGCAACGAGTCGCGGCCACAAGCACGGCCGCGGCCCGAGCCGCCTCTGCCCACCATCTATGCCATCACGCCCACCTACAGCCGCCCGGTGCAGAAAGCCGAGCTGACCCGCCTGGCCAACACTTTCCGCCAGGTGGCGCAGCTGCACTGGATCCTGGTGGAGGACGCGGCGGCGCGCAGCGAGCTGGTGAGCCGCTTCCTGGCGCGGGCCGGGCTGCCCAGCACGCACCTGCACGTGCCCACACCGCGGCGCTACAAGAGGCCCGGATTGCCGCGCGCCACGGAGCAGCGTAACGCGGGTCTCGCCTGGCTGCGCCAGAGGCACCAGTATCAGCGCGCGCAGCCCGGGGTGCTCTTCTTCGCCGACGACGACAACACCTACAGTCTGGAGCTGTTTCAGGAGGTAGCGGCCGGGCCGCCCCAGCTTGGGAGGGGGGGCGCGCAGGAGGGGCTTCGGGGCCGGCCGGGCTGCGGCTGCACTTGGGAGTTCTCTCTCTTCCGTACTCCCATTCGGGACTACAGGTGGAGCGCTCCTCGCGGGCAGCCCGCAGCTTCGCCTGGCCCGGGCGTGTTTACGCTGGCCTTGGGGGTGGAGCGTGGACGGGAGGACCGCTGTGGCTCAAGGGAGGGGGTGTGTGACCAGGGGCTTCGCAGTCCGCCTGGTCTCGAGATTGAGCCGAGGGAGTAACGCAGGTGAGGCGCGAGGCTATTTCCAGGAACGAGGCTCTGGCTGGCTTGAGGATGGAGCCCAGATGGCAGAGAGAGTCGCTGGGCGAGGCACGCTGTCCGGAACAGGTCGCGGAGGGACCCAGCTCCCTGGGCAGGCGGGCTTGGTGTATTCTCGAGTCTAGAACCATACAGGGAGGAAGGTGGAGATGGTGACTAGAAATCACGCCAGAGACAAATTTCTCTCTTACAGCCCGCTGGCACGGAAATGGTTAGAGTGAAAACAGTGACTTCTCCAGGGTGTGTGTGGTGGGTCCAGCCTCTTTCTCTTCCTGCACCCCACAAAAGCCCTTTCTGATTCTGAAGATTGCCTCTTTTTCAAGGAAAACCTCTGGTAAATGAGTTGAGACTGTTGTGCCCTGTGGTTGTCTTTCTGCCGCCCGAATTATGAGGAAGACAGCCCCATTCTTTTTCTGAGCCTTTCTCTAAGGCCTCTCTTGGGCAAGTTAGCCAGGCCACTCTTGCACCTGCCCATTGCATCCTGGTGCTCCCTGTGAGGTCCTGGGTGCAGCACGGTCCCCTGCCGCCTAAATGGCTCTTTTCCCTTGGAAGGCCACTCATGCACAGAGCCAGCAGGGGGTTAGGACAGGTTTTACTTCTTGAGGCTGGTATTTTGCAGTCTGTGTGTGTTCTGTGGATGAGTCCGGATTGCATGGTTTTCACTATTCTTCCTTATACACAAAGATACCTGGGGGAAAAAAACAAAAACTTGGGATTCTTTGACACTTGGTGGAACTTGCTTTCCTTTATCCCAAATTCCTTGACCTCCTGCTTTGGAGACTCCATCACACCCCCCGCCCTGCCAAGTAAATTGGACAACGTGTGTGTCTAGTAAACATAAACGCCCAACAACTTCATCCTAATATCTGTTTGGCTTTCTTAACCTCAGGACAGAGTGACTTTATACACTTTCAATTTAATTTTTTCTGCCTATGTGGCTTTTGAGAATCCATTTTTTTTTTTTTTAAAGATTTATTTATTTGACATAGAGAGAGACAGCGAGAGCAGGAACACAAGCAGGGGGAGTGGGAGAGGGAGAAGCAGGCTTCCCGCGGAGCAGGGAGCCCGATGCGGGGCTCGATCCCAGGACCCTGGGATCATGACCTGAGCCGAAGGCAGACGCTTAACGACTGAGCCACCCAGGCGCCCCGAGAATCCATTTTTTAAGGGCAGTTGCCACCTTCCTTTCTATTCATCCTCTCCTTCATGAATAAAAGGACCAGTAATTGCTTTCCATCCTTTCTTCAACGTTTTGCAATGTAGGCCTTTCTTTCCATGTTCCTTCAGAAGAAATAGATAAGCTTGACATTGTAGGGGGTAGTCTTTATTATAACCAAGATCAGAGAGAGAATCTGATTTTTCTTTAAGTTGGGCTTCAGTTTTGATCCTGCTTACATACTCTTTCCCCCAAAGATACGGTGGTTTGTATTCTGAAGCAAAGACCTTTACATTTCAATACACCATAATTTTAAACTTCAAAGTTTTTATTATTATTATTTTTTACCCTTGGAAGTTGCCTCGGAACTTGGAAGTTGCCTTACCTGTAGAAATGTGTGGTCTTGGCATACGTAATGCACATCATTATTAATAGACTTTTTAGGGGGATGGGCTGTGAAGGGGGAGTGGTTTTTTGGTTTATTTCCAGGTTCTAGCGCATTGGTGTGAAGGGTTAGATGAGTGCGAGAGCTGGTAAACAATGGAGCCCAGTCTTTCTTTGATGCTTCCCAAACTGAAGGAAGGCTTGTTGGTGGGGGATATTAAAGCAGCAAGAGAAAAACCCAGTAGATTTTTTCATTGGTCCATTGGAAAAAGAGAAAGAATATAAAGGAGGAGAGGGTGAGGAGGAAAAATAGTAGTGGCCCAGAGGAAACTATAAAGGGTAAAACATGCAAAACTTATAAGACACTAAAATTTTGTACAGTAGGAAGTAATGGAAAAAAAATCAAACTTAATTTAAGAGCACGTGCAACTCTTTATGGAGAGGTAGGTGCCAAGTGGTACAAAATATACGACAGAAGGACTGTTTAAAAAACGTCATACACATGATACATTTGGAATTGAAATTCTGTAGCTTCCAGAGGCCACTCCCAGACAGTAATTTCAAGACTAGTCCCTTTCTCCACCACCTCTCATCCTCCCTCACACACAGTGTTTTTGGACAGAGTGGGCATCTATTCACCATGCATATATGTTGATACATTCAGTTTTCCTTTTTGCAACGCATTCTTTTCCTTGTAAGGCGAGCAATATTGAACTCTCTAAAAAGTCAGGTTAGTGGGATTTATGGATCCTTGGATTTGTGCAGTAATGGGATGGTCTACCTTATACCCGTTCTAAGATTAATGATTCCATGTGGATTATAGTCTAGACATTGCTCTCTTGGAGAACAGGTAGGACTAGATAAAACATCTAAAAACTGCAACTCCTTGGGGGGAAGGGAAGATGCTGATAAAGGATGCTGTAGAGGCGAGGCGTATTGATCTCAGTCCTCCATATTGTGCATACACACAAATTAGTTTTTAAGTAATTCACGGTACTTGAGAGAATGTCCCAAGTCAGGCTTCATCTTTTATTCATAGTGCTTCTAATTTCCATGGTTGATGTTAACGTAGATAAGATAAAAGGAGGAAAATGAACCAGGTACAAATTAGCTCGCTAAGCATTGGCTGCAAATGAAGGAAACTAAAAGATGAAAGGTCTCCAAATTAAATTAAAGGCGCAACAGGCAATCTGTGTTCAATTATTCCTCCCTGGTAACTGGAGAGCTGCTTTCTTCTTCCATACAGCTAACTGATGTTCAGCCTCCCCTCTCAACTGAGCTGTGCTGCCAGGAAGGAAATATTTGCATCAAAATAGTGCTACCTTAGCAGCCAAATCCACTTGCAAATGAAGCTCTGGGGGGAGTGGTAGCCACAGAAACTGGACTGTCCGTTGGAGGAGTTGGACAGGGTTTTTTAGGTTTGCAGTATCCCAGCAGGTCCTTCTGCTCTCCCTGTGGCACGGAGGGTTTTAGCCTACAGATGTAGTGCAGATAATCCTGCCTTCCCGAGCACCCTATCTGTCTAACCCCCCCCCGGAAAAGCTTCTTTGTGAAGGATTTAAGCTACTTTAATACAAGCCACAACTGCAGATAAATGTGGCTCTCTATCTAGTTATATTTTCAATAACCCTATTGATGAGACTTCTGTTCTTCACTAGAAAACCTTCCAGTGTTTCCTGAGTTTAAAGCTGACGCTTTTCAGGTGAAGTTGCTTTCACCTTTGGAAATCAATTGAATCGAAAGGTTACAAAACAGTCCTTTCCCAGCAAGAAGAAAAAACTTAAAAATTTTTAACTTTAAATTTAATGAGCAAAGACTGGAAGACAGGCCAGCCGTGAGACACTTAAGGGGGGGTGGGTGAAAGGACTCAGTTAATGAGAGGGCACCTTGAAGATGCTTTCTGGCAAGCAGTGAACTAAGGAGGCCCTTTGTTTCGATTTTTCTGTTGGGTGCAGTTAAGCTATTTGTGTGCTGAGCAGGTGGAGGAGTCGAGGTTTAATTTTCTGTCTCGTTCTTTTCCTGAAGCATCAGTATGCTCCCCTCTTTATATGCAGCTTGTTAGAGCCACAATCCAAAGGATATTCAGATTTACAATGTTTGGCACTTCCCCCCAAGTAGTAAATTCTGCCTGTGTTTCTTGAAAGGAGACCAGAGATCTACCTTTACTTTTACCTTTGATACTGTTACTTAGTGTAGGGTAATTATCTTTTCGAAGTGAAGAAACCTAAAAGAATCTCTTAGGTGTAGCATAAAATGACTCTTTTACCTGAAATGTGCCCTTTGTGTTTTATTTCTCCCCATCTAAAACCATATTAATAATCCTGTTGTAGGGCTGATAAAACATGAGAATTTTCTAAAACTGCAGCCAATTTCCTTAGTCTGTCCAGTGTTAAATCTCAAGATTTTCTGTGTTCTCCCTGGGTGTATAGTACTTGGGTTAGGGCTAATTTTTGAGTTTTCTATGAAGACCAGTTTTCATTTGGATTTTGAGATTTTAATGGACCAGAAATAACAATTTGGGTTTAAAAGACATTCTCTCTACTGCCTCTTCTTGTTGTCTTCTTCCATCATTCTTTGTCCCCCAACCTACTTTTCACTGATTATCCTTTCTCATGAATAGACATGAAGACATGCCTGGATTATTGTTTGGTGCAATGAACGTGTGTCTTTTAAACATTTAGACTCTTGTCTCCTTCTTGGAAACTATAGTGGGTGACTCCATTTTCTTCTGTCTCCTCCCTTTGCCTCTAAATTACAAGCTGGTAAATTTTCTCTTGTGTGAACAGTAATGGAATAGTAATTGCTTTTAAGGCATGCTACAAAAGCAAAATAGAAGAACCAAAGGCAATGGTCTTATTCATTAATTATTCCAGGTGGTATTCAAGTAGTGCTTTTTTTTTTTTGGTACAGAATTCAATAATGTTCAGATATGTCTGTTCAAACGTTTTGAAGTCTGAGGAAATATTTGCTCAATCCATATAGTTAACACATTATATACTTGATTTGCAATGCTGTTGAAGCATGATATTTAAGTTTTGCATGGATCTCAAGTCCTTCCTCCAAAACACAAATAAACTTGTTACACCAGTCCGTAGGTAGGTAGGTAAATAGGTAGGTTTAGAACAGATTTCCAATTC